AAAAAAAAAAAAAAAAAAAACCTAGCACCATCAGACACTAACCTAGCACAATCATACAACTAACCTAGCAACTACTAACCTAGCACAATCATACAACTAACCTAGCACAATCATACAATTAATCTAGCAACTACTAACCTAGCACAATCATACAACTAACCTAGCACCATCAGACAATTAACCTAGCATGCTAGGTTATTTATATTTAATTGCTAAAAAAGAGGTTTTTTAAAAAAGGTGGTCAAAATTTGTGTTTTGTAAACTTTTATGGCTATTTAATGGTATTAACACCTTTTTTAAAGTTGGTGTACATCATTACAATGGAAGTGGGTTCCTGTTGTTTAAGCATTGATTATGATATAATCTTAGCTTAATTTTTGGTTAAGTCCTTAGTTGTCTTTATGCATGCTCTGTAAAATGTTCGATGCAAATTTTGTTTCTTGCCTTTCCTAACAATTTAGTGATATCGACTAATTATCGAGCACATTGTTTGTTCGTGGTGTTCGAGCATGTAATTCTTTTCATATCTTGTTTCATGTGATTTAAGTTTCATACTCATTTCAAATTTTGACACTTCTTTTTCACAAAACAATGCACATTTTCATGTCTTTTCATATCTTGTTCCATATGATTGAAGTCGTATTTATGTATACCTGTGATTGATTTGAGATCAAAAGCAGATATTCGATTGTGAAGTTTGCAACGTAAGTACGTCGAGATCGTGATAAAATTTCGTGAGAAACTTAAAATCTTTGGAACCGAATGAGTTAGTTGTTTATCTTGAGACCGAGATGAGATCAGAAGCGATCTACGATTTTATTTGGGAGCGAGAGGAGATAGTCGATTGTTAGGATCAATGAGTTTGTAGCGTGAGTAGCTAAACGAACCGAGAGGGTATTTACACCCCTACTGTTTAAGCTCACAGCCAGCAACTGAAAGATGAAAATTGAAGCTCACAAACAACACTGAAAGATGAAAATTCAACCATAGGTAAAATATATATGTAGCAGATAAGTGCATATGCACACGCCACATTGCATTGGAATTCTATTACATATTTCTTGAATCTGTTGAGATTATATAAGGAAGACATGAACACAAAAGCTGAACGGGACAATGCATAAAGAAAGTAACGACTATCAAATATCCTTATTTATTAAGCTTCATTTTAGTATATAAAATCTCAAGACTTGCAGTACTCCATATATAAATTAAGGGCATGTAGGGAGGGTCACACCGGTTCCCTCGCTTACTTGCCTGCATATATAAATAATTTGTTAATGTAATTAATTTGTCCATTAATTTTGCAACATTCCGCATAAATTCCTTACGTGTGGTGCAATTAATGCGGTGCTAAAACAATGTCAATTTAAAACATTAAATGGAGAACATAGAAAAGGTGATTTTGATTTAAAAAAAAAANNNNAAAAAAAAAAAAAAAAAGAAACTTACATTATCTTGTTTTTTAAAGTTGTTAGATGCAACAAGTCGAATTCACGTTCAAGCCCAACTCGGCTCACTTGAAAAACGGGTAGAACTTATGTGTGAGCTCGGCTCGTTTTCATTTATAATAAATGAGTCGAGCTCGAGCTCATCTAAAACTCGTTTAATAAACGGCTAAACTCTTCTCGTTAAGACTCAAAAATAAGGATTTTGTGCAGTTTGTTTCATATGAATGAAACTTGGATACTTACACAACTTCAAGGTTTGGGCTACACGCCAAGTCCTTAGGTACGGTGCCTGATAAATCTGCATTACCATATAGCCGACTGTCCTCGCAAAAATCAAAGACACGAGCCGTAAGATAGATAAAGAGATATCACGTCATTAATTATGCCTGTACGTAGTTGTAATAATAATAATAATAATCAGAGTCGGTTCCTTGGGGAGGCAAGCTAGGCCCATGCCTAGGGCCTCCATTTATTTGGGCCCCAATTTTTTTTTTTTTTTTTTAGTATTACGTATTTGTGTTGGGCTTGGCCTGTTTATACAAATAAATGGGCTAATGACTAAATATAGAGTTGACCTATTATACAAATGAAATAGCTAATAACAAAATATGTATTTTGTGTGGAAATTTGAGGCCCTAAATATATTTCATTTGTTATGTTATAATGTCCGGTCAGAACAAATTGTTCGAAAATAAATATTCTTTGCAGTGATATGATTTTTATTTTCGTCTTCATGTGTTCTTGTGACTGCTCGAATATTATTTAGAAGATCCTTATAACCCAAAGATAAATTTATCAGTTCCAAAATCTAGAAAAAAAAAAAATAATTTTTTTTATTTATTTCAATATTTATTAATTTAATATTATGGTTTAATTAGGTTCTTTTCTGCTATGATTTTATTTGTAAATAGCCCTAATTACCATGCAAAGGCAAAATAAAAAATTCGAAGAGAAAAAACTTGTTTAGGGCCTCCATATTTCTGGAGACGGCCCTGATAATAATTATTAGAATTATATTGAAATACTGGAGCTTGGGATGAAAGAGAATATTGTAAATAATAAAAAATGGTAAAAAGTTGATATTACTAGCCTATCCAATATAAATAACACTAAGCTACCGTTGGGCCGTATTAATTCTAAAATTGATATGTATAATTTCAAATTAAAGTGTTATGTTACAAATCCCAATATTATATATAAAAAAAGTATGAGTTTTTATAATAAAAGTATGAATTTATAATAAAATAATTTAAATTCACGTACAGGAATTTCAAATTCTTCAAATTTCCTAAAGCTGTTGGAATATCGCCGGTGAGATGGTTGTCGTAGAGGTCCAAGCTGACCAACTGAGTAAGGTTTCCAAGCTCCGGTGGTATGTTCCCATTTATCTTATTACTGTATAGCTCCCTATTAATAATAATTCACCCCAAATCAAATCAAATCAAAGCAAACAATAGAAAATTATTAGTTCTAATTCTAAAACAATTGTCACCGAAATAACACATACAAATATTGTAGTTTCGTCAGACTTCCGAGTTCGGGAGCCAATGGCCCTGATAATTCCTGATTGCCGAGATCACTGACAACAAAAATGGATAATAAAACATATATATGCATATGATTAGATTAACATCTCAATAAATCTATTTCATTTGGGATATTTATTCGTCACTACAAGAAAAACTGCATTTGGCGACGCTTATTTTTTTGTTTACTGACGCTTATTTTTTTCTGACATCAAATTTAGCAACACAATTCGCCAATAAGCGTCATTAATAAGTGTCGCCAAATGCAATTTTTCTTGTAGTGCGTTAACAAAAGATGAAAGGATATCTCTCACTCTGATGGATATTGGCATAATGCTTACATTCTTATTACTTGGTTTTGGTTGTCGCAGGTAACATGGAACCATGTGCAAGGGTTGACAAGAGTATCGTCCCAGCTGTTTAATTTGCCTTGAGGATCACTTAGTTTTTGCCTGAAGGCATATAAGGCATCACCTAAACACACACGTAGAGATGTTAAATGGTTCTTGGCCCGACGGGTCGACCCGTTTAGCCCGAGAAAAAACAGGGTTAGGTCCTTTTATTAGTAGGCCGTTTAAATCAGGGCTTTTTAAGCCCGGATCCGTTTAGCCCGAAGCCCGCTAGGGCTAGCCCGAAACCTGCCAGGGCTGGCCCGTTTAACTAGGGTTGGACGGTATAAATGTTTGCCTCAAGTAAGTAATATGATCTTAAATTACTTGTATATTACTATTTTGGTATTCCACTTCACATGTAAGTATGAGTTGTAATGAATTATTATGATTTTGAAAGATAATTATTAACAATATTGTTATTGTACTTCATACCAAAATATTTAAGTCAATCAGAACGACTAATAAAAAACACATGAAACATAGTGATAGACGGTAAATACTAAATAGCCGTTAAGTTGTTATTTTTTTAATAAATTTTTTACTCTTTTTATTTTTAATTTTTTTTATTTGTTATTATTAGTATTATTATTATTATTAATATTATAGCCCGCATAGCCCGTTTAGCCCGAAGCCCGCTAGGGTTAGGGTTAGGTCCCTTTTTTGGTAGCCCGTTTAAATCTGGGCTTTTTTGACCCAGACCGTTTAACCCGAAGCCCCCTAGGGCTAGCCCGAAACTGATAGGGCTAGCCCGAAACCGATAGGGCTAGCCCGTTTAACATCTCTACACACACACAAATAAACACTAGAAATTAATTATATATTTAATGGATCTATATATATATATATATATATATATATATATATATATATCATAAGGCAACAACTAATTAATTGATTTTATGTACATTTGCATCCTGTAAAACAAAATATTATTGTAACAAATTGAATACACAAAATGCTTGTGACAAATTTAAGGAACTAAAATTATATTTTCCCATTATATAAAGTAGTAGTAATTAATCAATAAAATTTCATAATAATAAATTAAAATGAAACAAACACATGAAAGTAACGTCAATATATATACAAACCTTCTGCATTAGCATTAATAGTCTTCAGTTTGAAGATCAATATGAAGCACACAACCACCAGAGATATTAGCACACTAAAGGATCTTCCCATTTCAACAAAATGTAATTTTGATAATAACAATAACGGAGCACAAAAATCTTTATAATTTGTTTGTTTGTTTTTTTTTTTTTTGTGTGGGTTTTATCGACCTTTGAGCGTCAGTTTTTATAGGCAAACTCGTACATGACAGAACATTCAAGCCTTGCAATGTCAAAATAAAAAGTTGAAATTGGGGTGAGAGGCAATGACTTTATACATGCAAGTTCACTTTTTTTTTTATATTTTTTTATTTAGTTAATTAAGAAAAAGTGGCCTACTAAAGTATTTGAATTTAAATAATAAAAATCTCTCTTACATTGTTTTTAAGAATTTGAGTATAATCTTTTTAACTAGCACCTTCTAATCACGGGTGTTGTACTAGTCTTATTAACTACTGAACAAAAATATTTTTTTACAAAAGAAAATAATTGTGAATAAATAAAACGGTCTTGAGTTATTAA